AATGAAAAGGCAACCTACAGAAAGGAAGATAATATTTGCAAACCACACATCTGAGAAAGGATCGGCCTCCAAAACATATAATAAACTCACATGATTCAATAGCTAAAAATATAGTATTTTTAAAAACTGATTTTAAGGGAACCAGCAGTGAGCGTAATGGCTATGTCGTTGGACTCCCACGTAGTCAACTGCGGTTCGCGTCCCGGACCCGGTGGCTTAAAACACACGCCGAGCACATGTGCGTGCGTGCCCAAGATCCCGAGAGGAGAATGGAGGAAGAGGGACTGCGGCGTGACCATCCCCCCCTGGGGGGTGATTTCTCGCTTTCTGTCTCTATGTCTCTCTTTGTCTGTCTGGCGAGCGCATGCGCCCTATAGTGAAAACCTCTCAAAAAAAAAAAAAAACTGATTTTAAAATGGGCAGAGTCTAAATATACATTTCTCCAAAAGACATACAAACAACAAATAGGTACATGAAAATATACTCAACATCAACCCTCAGGTAAATACAAATCAAAACCAAACTAACACTTCACCTTGCACTTGCTGGGATAGTTATAAAAAAATCAGCAGATAAATATTGGCATGGATATGAATTAAAGAAATCCTTGTATACTGTCATTAGAAATGTAAATTGGTACACCCGTATGGAAAACACTATGTTGTTTCTTAAAAAACAAAATTGGTAGCTTGAGAAATATCTTTACTTCCATGTTCACTTCAGCATTAGTCACAATATCCAAGACAATCTACATGCCCATTGACAGTATTACTAAGCCAATTTTTATTAAGAAAATCCTGGGTCTGCCCTGTAGCTTAGTGATTAGGAGAGCCAGATCCCACATGGATGACCATGGTTTGAATTCTGGCTCTGGCAGCTTATAAAACAGGCCATGTGTGCACACATAAGCCCAAGATACTGACAGCATGCAGAAATGGAAAAGGAATTTCATTGTGACCACATCCTTTAGGGAGAGTGTTTTTTCTCTATCTCTCTGTCTGTCTCTGGCAAGTACATGTACCTTTGGCAATTAAATCAAAAAAGGAAATCTTGTCATTTTTGCAACAATGAATAAACTTTCAGGTATTATGCTAAGTAAAATAAGAGAAAAATGAATACTGTATAATTTCACTTAAATGTGAAATCTAAAAGAGCCAGATTCATAGAAACAGAGTAGAATAGTGGTTTGCCAGGGGTTAGAGGGGTCAAGGAAATGGAGAGATGTTGAATAAAAGGTGCAAAACTTGTTACAAGATAATTAATCTTACACACAGCATGGTGGCTATAGTTAACAATACTGTATTCTATACTTGAAATTTGCTAAGAGGGTATATATTACATAGTTTTTACAATACACATACAAACAAAAAAATAAAATGGCTACTGTTGGGATCAGCAGATGGTACAATGGTTACATTATTGGACTCCCACATGGTTGAACATGGCTCCAGTCCTGGACCTGTTGGTTTCAAACTCATGCCAGGGGAGAAAGGCATGTATGCCTCCTCTCAGGGCCTAGGTCACTCATATTCTGCTTGGAAATAAACTGCATTAATTATTAATTTTTTTAAAAAAAAGAAGAAAAGAGATTGCAGCATGGCCATTCCCCTAGAGAGTGATTTCTTGCTTTCTTTCTCACTCTTTCTCTCTGGCAAGTGCATGTGCCCTATAGCAAAAATCTCCCAAAGAAAAAAAAAAAAAAAAACTCATGCAAGGTGCATGTGCATGCATGCCAAAAATTCTGAGAGAATGGAGGAGATGGTATTATGATGTGACCATATCCCCTGGAGGATGATTTCTTACTTTCTATCTCTCTGTCTCTCTGTTTCTCCAACAAGTACATATGTCCTATAGCAAAAATCACTCTTAGAAAAAAAAAAAAAGGAAAAACATCAAGTTACCTACAAAGGACATCCCATCAGGCTAACAGCAGATCTCTCATCAGAAACAATGTGAGCGAGGGAAGAATGGGAAAACATATTCAAAGTGTTAAGAGAGAAGCAATTTCAGCCAAGAATACTGTACCTGGCAAGATTATCTTTCAGGTGGGAAGAAAAGACAAGAACATTCTCAGATAAACAAAACCTGAAAGAATTTACCAGTACCAGGCCAGATCTCCAAGAAGTTCTCAAGGGTGTGCTGTATCAGGAAAATTAAATACAGACACATGGAAATAAGAGTTCAAAAACTAAGAAAGTGGCCAACTTAATCATAGGAACAAGTCTGGAGTTGAATATTATATCCCAGAATTTAATCAGGAAAATTGAACCAGAACAGAAGATAAAAGTACATGAGACTGATAGGTTCATGCACCTACCATTTGAACTGAATCCTAACCTGTTTCCTGGCTTTAAGCAAAGTTCCTTGGCATTTC